TGTTGCTATTTTGTGCCCATTCATGAAAATTTTACTGGAATATTGTAACACCCGTGCCGACGCGACCCGATCCGACCCGACGCGAGCCGACGGTCAAGCCTTCTCGACGGCTCGTTGGCGTCGGCGGGGATTATATGTCCCTCCTGTCCTGGGCTGCCCGCTGATTAAGCTGTCGGACTAACCACATGTATCTTTGGATTACGTAACCTCACCTAACGTCGGATTGCAAATCAAAGCCGACAGCCGACAGCCGATAGCCGGCGACGGGGTGGTTATGAGCCTCGGAAGCGGCTGGCTCTGCACGTGCGTGCCGCCCCAACAGGTAGCGCGAGAGGGGGACCAGGCGGCATGTTAGCACCCTGTCAGATAACTATCAGCAGCAACACAACCATGTGTTAAATGGGACCCGGCAATTACCGGACATCGAAACCTGACCATTTGGTGGGAGAACAGAGAAACTTTTTGGTGGGCTACAGTCTGAGTATTTCTTGAGGTGTCTTAAACAGTCATAAAATGTGGCCCATGCTGGATACATAAAATACAGATCTGGCCCTTTAGTAGCATGCAATCACCTAATGGCATTTGTTTATTGACGGCGTTTTGACAAGATCATCCAATTTCGCCTCTCTGAACATCTTCACTACCGAGGCCTTGCTTGTCGTATCTGAGTCGAACTTTTACGGCCTTCCGGCCTCTCCCGCCCGTCGGCACAAACGAACAGCAAGAGAGGGAAAGCGCGCGCGAGAGAGAGAGAGAGGGGGGGGGGGAGAAGAAATGAGAGGGAAAGAGAGAGAAAATATATATCTTTCTCCCTCCTTATATGTATATATATACTGATTGCATGCGCAAAAACAGCGCCCGAAACAATACTTAGCAAGATGAACTCGTTATGGTACCAAGAATTAAACGTGTCTTTTCTTCATACATTTCAGAACATAGAATACAGTTTGATACCAGCTACAAGCGCAGTGTTATTTCCGCGAAAAGTGAATCAAAGGTAAACATGCAAGTAGGTATTTATATCATTACAATTTGACTGATGAGAGGGTAGATCAACCTAAACCAGTGTAAAACTCCAAAAGCGTTTTTGGCGTGAGTCCTTTAGCATGGCTGTTTATGAGGCTTGAACAAGTAGGCCGACTTGACGGGTTTCGACGCTGGTAACCTGAGGAGTTGGATATCATGATGACTAATAACATAACAGTTCTGCTAGCTAGACCAGGCGTTCGCTCGTTTAATGCCGATCCCTGCTGCCTGTGGTCGCTGATAACTGCGATACGTGTGCCGCAGTATGCCGTCAGTACTTCATTATTATCCACCCGTTATCATTATCCACTCATTTTTATATTGTCCACTCATTATTGACCCTGGTGCGTGTCCACAGGCGCTCTGATGTGCCTTACTGCGCGCACTCATGACTCGGACGTTCACAATGTCGTACGGCAGGCGAGGTAATTTGAAGCTTTCGGGTTAGCACGATGGAGTGGTTTGAGGAAATGGTAAGGTTATCCTTTAATTGAGACCCTTAGAGTGGAGAAATTCGGATATCAGCATTTTCACAGAAGGACACTTGTGACTGAGTCTGCGATCCATACCTGTGAAACTTCACAAGAAAAAGTGATTATGGCCCGTTGCCGAGGTCCCTAATAACGCATACCTCGACCCCGGCTGTTCGGCTTCCGGTAGGTCATCCGTGCAACGTCCGAGACTGCGACCGAACGTTGATCCTTTTTGAGCGGAGCACCTGAATTAACGAGATAAATGACAGCATTGTACGTCTATGTTTGCCTATTAGTTAGGTCATGAGATGCTATGCGTCTGCTGATATATTTCATGTTGCGTCTTTGCAATATTTTCTGCGCAGTAATTTATTTGCGATTTGCATTGCACGCAATCACGATCATAACACGCTTACCCAATTTTGAAATAAACGCCCGTGAATAAATAGCCACGGCAGTAAACATCTGTTGCTCGCCGAAATCCCCGCCAATGTTGTTTCGCAATGCCTCGGAGCAGATGTTGTATTCGAGGTAGGAGATATATGATTATTAGACTTGATAAGAGTCTGCTTAGTCATATTATCTTGTAATTACCACACCGGCAAGTAACTGCACGTCGCATGTTTCCAACGGACCCTTAAACTAAACGGACACTCGAGCCAAACGAACACCTGCGAAAATGAAATAACACACTGTGGTGCATGAAATACACCAAGAGACGCACAGCCGCTGCCGTTGTCGCTGGCCTTCAACTGTCGCTAGAAAACATGGACGCTCAGCCGGATGAAATGCCACCACAAGAACGGTCCCCGACCGGCGACATATGGCTGATACAGCTCCGAACGGCGCGTTGTCACTGGAACCTCTCAACCCAGAGCAGTTTTCCCAGCTCGCACAACCGAAAATCCGCACACGAAGACACCCTCAATACTCACACCACCACCTGTGCGAATGCAAATGTCGTACTGCCGCTGGAAAAAAGTGTGCCAGAATTGAATACAACTGGGCTAACCGGAACAAGGCCAGACAGATTCCACTCACATTCTGCAACGGCATCCGGGGATAAGGTGCACTGTTGAATCCGTTGGGCAGAAGATGGTTCTTCCCAGGCAGTACAGCAGGTAAGTCCGTTTTATGCAAGGGACTTAGTCCTGGCAGGGCCCGGGCCGGGCTGCGCTGCTACAAAAATCTGCCCAGAGTTCAGTCAAGTTGAGTTCAGTCAAGAACAATAATTTTAAGAATTGATTTCAAATGGCGTTTGATGTGACAACTGCGGCAACCCACCGCGCGCACGTAGTTTCTTAATTTCCCCAACCCTGTTTAACGCAGCTGCGGGTCGTAGATCGCGCAGCTGCTCACTTGATCCTCAGTCGTGTGTGTCTCCTACGCCATAACACTGACCGTCCGTATCAATTTGATTGTTGTCCTCGCTACGAAAGTGGTTGCCGCCAACCAGACCGGTCGGTGATGCTGGTGATGTGAAGCTCAAGATAGGGGGCCTGGGTGACCTGTGCAGGCTGGAAGTGTGAGCAAGTCCAGGTATCAGATACTCTACCGCAGCGAGCACGGCTGGCTGGTCTGCCAGATGGTAACCTGGCGCCGTCACACCAGGCACTCTGTGTTCACACCAGGAAAATCAGCTAATGAATATGCGGCTGTGTATTATACTAATACTGCGACGACATCATTGGCACGATAAAACATAGCCACCTCTTCCACTACAAAACCCAGCATGGCTTGGTACGTACGCCATGCACGCACCATCACGTCTGTAGAGATAAAACAGTTACACAATGGGCATGCATACGCCGATGTTAACACGCGCCCGGGTGGCCAGCTAAAAACCTTTCGCTTGGGTGGGGGGTCAGATCGACCCCCTGAGATCTCGGGAACTAAGAAAGATAGAGACACCAAAATTACAGGGTGTGTTGACCTGTACGTAAACTCATCTAGGAACAAAATTCAGGTTCCTCGGACATGACCTTGGGGTCAAAAAAGTCAAACAAGGTCAAATTCCAGGTTGGTCTCCAAAATGCCCCCAGAACCTAGATAACCGTTTCTAAGCCAAAGGTCACATTCTCATTCAAGGTCAGTGACCTTGTTTGACATCTTGAATGTCAAGGTGACCAAAATCATGCCAGACTGTTTTGAGTTTTGCATTGGACTAAGCGACAAAGATTACGCTAGGCAGTATGTTCCTAAAACAAAATGCTAACCTGAGTCATTTTAGGTCAATGGCCTATTCTGACCTCTAAGAAGTCCATGGAAGATGTATAATGCGGTTCCTGCTATCAATAAACTCGAAATGAGCAGCAGAAACTATCCCATACAGCAAGCCCCAGAATAACAAAACGGGTTGGTTTTGACCTTGGTGTGACCTTCATACCTGACCTTAGGTCAATGTAATTTACTTATTCAACTCTTGTGTTGCCTAAGAAAGCATCTTCAGAGATGTATGGCTCCGTCTAACACTCCGTTGCTGCATCAGATTGAACGATTCCGTAGAAATTGCCTTCGCTGAAACCACGGCCTGACTTTGACCTGCCATCGGCCATCGACCTTACAAGGTACATCTAAAAATCCGATGACAAACGATCCGCTATTTAATTGTCTACAGATATGCAAAATTTGGCGTGGCCGCGCCGTGCCGTTCGGAAATCATTCTGGAAAAAACCTTCGGGTGGTCAAGTTGACTCCCCACCCCACCCGAGCGCGTGATAAAGCTCTGTAGTAAGTTCCTACAGCGAACAAAGCAGCCCAACTCTGTGCTCGACACGACCCACCCACCCAGCGACGCGGCCGAGTCCGCAAGAGCGCGTCCTTCCCTGTCGGCATCAACACCCCTGCGGCTGGCGGCGAGGGTCGATACCCGCAGGGTCATGTCACAAACACATCACACACATAGCGAGTGATATTTGACGATTTACTTAGACGGAATCAGCATCAATCACATTCGCGCCGTTGGACGGCACGTCGGCAGACGTGGCGTCCCTCAGATCTCCGGCTTTCCGCAGGTGCTCGCCATTCGTCGTCCGACGACGACGCCATCGACGACAACGACGAGTCTGATTCATGCCGATTACGACGCAACAACTCCTCCCAGACGTTGACACGCAAGCCCTCAATCCCGGCCCATTGGACGATTCAGACGCGAGGCCGCAGCGCCTGGCCGTGTCGTCAGGTAGCGCAGCAGCAGCTGCCACAGGGCCGGTGACGGCTGCGTGAGGCCGAGTGGCGTGTCCGGCCGGTCGACCAGCAGCATGTCAAGCAGGCGCGTAACGTGGCCGCGCCGCCGCCACGCACCCTGCACCGCCACCATGTCAAGCACGTCCATGGCGAACGCTTCGGGTCCACCTTCGATTAGCTGACCGTGCCGCTTGAGCGCGACGAGGCCAACGGCCTCGGAGCGGATCCAGAGCAGCAACGCCGAGTCCTCGAGCAGCATGGCAAGATGGGCGGCTCGCAAGCAGCATCCGAACGTTCGCGCTCGTGGTACATGTACTAGCTAAGCAGGTAGAGGGCGGTGCGGTCGGACGGCGTGCGCACCTGACGCCAGCCGTCGCGGTTGTCGTGCGCGCGCAGCAGCGGCTCCAGCTTGGTCCAGCGCTCGCCTACCTGGACGGCGGTGCAGGCGTCGCACAGCGGACGGAAGAGGCCGGGCAGGCCGCGCTCCAGGCTACTGCTTTCGTCCGAATCAGCCACTATGAAGCGGGTGGGCACCGCGAGCCGCGGAAGTTCGTATCAGGCCCGCGCACGCCGCTGGTCTTCCTCTTGTACATGAGACGCGCAGCCGGGCCGCGGACAGGACACTGCAATAGAGGGAGTTAGAGGGTTAGACTGGCCGTCACAGCGCCACGGAGACACGGCCAGTGTCGAGTCTGGGGAGAGGCATGAGGGAAAGGGCGCGAGAGCGGCTGACGGGTTAAGAACTGTACATGACACTACAGATTAGATCATCGGTGACATCTGATGATCGGCAGGCGTATAGGTCGGGCTATTTAGTAACCATGGCGCCGTCTTTCAAGGAAAAATTCACAGGTCATAAGGAATGTCAGTCACATTGCTCAAACGAGACATAAAAGCCAGACCCAGGTACCAGCTTGCTTTTGTTTTGGGAGGAATCAGTTGTGTAGCTGACTGAAAGCCGACCCCGGACAGTCATTAGCTGGTGCGACGGTGGTCGAACACTACCGACGAATACGAACACCTGCCGTGATGGCAACGATCAGGCCCGCAGTGTGACATGTGGAGTGACAGCCCCCGTGCGCGCGGAGGAAAGCAGACTCACCTTCGTAGCTGCGGCTGCGGGACCTGACGAGCTGGTGTCGGTTGACGGTCTCCTCCAGTCGCTGACGCACGGTCGGACCATCCGTCTCCACGACCACGGGCTGTGGAGCGGCGCCGTCTGAGGTTAGATGAAGTCATGCGAACAGCAGCTGTGACGCAAAAAATGTGTTCCTTCTTTCGCAGAAGGTAGGAAGGGGGGGGGGGGGGTGAGTCACCAATGCGAGGGGAAAGTCTTAAACAAACATCGCGCTGGTATCAATGCCATCAAGTTACATTGCTAACAGGCATTGTGGGGTTACGTGTGCTGCAATGCCCACACTTTATAACATAGCTGAGCTTTACCGCACGCCCAACAGAATATAACGAAGCGGTAGTCAAGGAGGCATCAACAGCCGTGCATATGCATTCCAGAATCCGGGCGGTGTTATCCGATGCCTCATGTGAGCACTTGACCAGCCAAACACAAAACGCACATCGAGACGCGAGCCTAGCGGCAACAGTCGCACACCGCCGAGGTCACCCGAACACCCTGACACCCGCTCTGCGCTCGGCGTCCGCTGCCGCCAGCGTGCCGCAGGAGGAGGGGGCGCTCACCTGCACAGCGACGGCCTCGAACGCAGCCACGGCGTGGAACACTGGCGCTAAACGGCGGGAGGCTCGCTTCATGCGCCAGGCGGTGCGCGGGTGCTTGGGCGTTTTGAGGCTAGCGCACGACCTGCCGGGGGAGGTCCCCCGGTCAGTACGGTGACTGACGCCGGCGGGGGAGCAACCTGCAGCACAGAGGTCCGCACAGACGGAGCGTCATTAGGGGAGCTGCCCGGAGCACAGAGGCCCGCACATACGGGGCGTGATTGGAGGGAGCCGTCCGCAGCACAGGGACCCGCACGGGCTGAACGTCACGGACAAGACAAACCATCTGCAAACGAGGCAGAATGGGCGTGAGACGGTCTTTGAACGCAAGCAGAGGCAAGGTCAAACGACACAGCGTGACGTTTTTAGTCCATAGCACGGTATGTAGAAGATACTTAATGAAGGTGACACTGACATGAAAGTTTCAAAGAAAATAGTTCGTACAATTCCCATATAACCGGCCAGCCGTCAGTCGCACCAAAGGTCCACGTGGTGGTATCTTCACGGCACAATCTTTACCCTTGCCTAAAATTCTTCGGCTATTGAGCGTAACTGGATTGAGCCTCAAGATCCAAGCTAGTATGATTCAGAAATATTCAAAGCTACCAGCGACGGACTCGACGTCTGCTGGGAAATCTATGAGGGTTTCCTCTCGGCCTCTCACTAGATGCCAGGCCAATAGCCGTGAGCCAAGCATTGGAACGTTCCGCACAAAGAAGCAACATCACGAACCGGACAGGTCCTCTGCACACGCGGCAGAATGTGCATGAGGTGTCTTGAATGTAAGCAGAACAAGGTGAAAAGACAAAGTCTGATGTTTTCGGCTCCAAAGCTAGCAGCAGCAAATGCCACATCTACTGGTAACTTGATGAAATTTTCCTCTCGTCCTAGTAAGGTACGTAAGTTAAGTATTTAACAGATATCAGCCACCAGAAAATGCATCAGGTATTGTCAACTGATATGCTAATCAATGCATCAAGAAGCGTCTTATCTTTCTGAAGCAACGTCCCAAAGGGTTTTCTCCTGAAATGTGAGGTTGAAAATGCTTAACAGGTGGACAGAGACAGGGCTGTTTTGCGGCTTCCATTGCCATATTATATATATATATATATATATATATATATATATATATATATATATATATATATGCATCATAATATAATATATTGTAGTTATATCATACGCTTATAGAGTTGTATGTCATGTTGTTGACAGAGCCAAATAATGAATCCAAAGGTGGCTCACTCCACCGCGTGTACTCACCACTTCCCCGGGAGCGGCTGTTGAACGTAAGAGACGTCCTCTTCGCCGATGGCCGCCTCAGCCGCACGGGCAGCGCCGAGTTTTTCATTTGGCACACGGTACTCCGTCGGCGAGATGATGACGCCCTCGCCGTCACTCGTGGAGCAGCGTCACACGGGTTGTGACAGGAAGATGACGTCGTCATTCGCCGTCTCGGCTCCCGCGCCGGGGTTCTGCAAACTGGTACTCGCCTCCGACGACCTGCGGAGAAAGACGGAGCTCAAGCTTCGCCGACTGACCGCTTGGTGACACGATGGTTCTGAAAGTAAGTGGCGTGGTGTCCGGACAGAAAGTCGGCTCGCAGGTTTGCCGAATGGCTTTTTGTACACTGGCACATGACGACTTGCATATTGGCGATATGTAAAATGTTGACATGTCAGAAAGTCGAATCAGCAAATGGCGAGCCTTAGCACGGCGACATGCCGACATTGCTAACTGCTAAATGACGAATTGCAAAATGGCGACAGGTGTCGCGACCGCTGAATGCCCCCATGTTATTTCACCTCACACCATTCCGAGGAAAACGAAGCTGAGGATATATTAAATTGCAAATAACTTACTGGCAGGGTAGGACCTCCGGTCAGTATGGTGACTAACACGGGCGGTGTAGCCATCCGCAGCACAGAGGATCGACTAGACGGAACATCGCGGTCTGTACAGACGCCTCTGCGCGCGCGATAGAAAGGGTAAGAGACGGTCTTTGAGCGCAGACAGAGGTAAGGTCAAAGAATACAGCATGACGTTGATTCATAAGTGCAGCAAGTAGAACATGCTCAATGAAAGCGGCACTCAGATGAAAGTTGTAAGGAAAATAGTTTGCATAACTCCCCATTAACTGACCGGCCATCAGACACACCAGAGATGCGCTTGCTAGTATTTTCACAGCAAAATGTTCACCTTTGCATAGAATATTTCGGCTACTGAGCTCAACTGGACTCAGTTTAAAGATCCAAGCTACAAGCATTCAGAAGTGTTTAATGCAATCAACAGCAGATGCTACATCTTCTGGCAAATTGATAAAGTTTTTTTCCTATCCTGTCGCTAGATGGCAGGCCAAAATAAATGTGCAAAGCTCTGGAAGGTCCCGCACAGACTCTGCGCTCAGGAGATGGAAACTAAAAACTCGCATCACATGATCGAGCTAAGTTACGCGTTTAACAGATATCAGCCACCAGAAAGAGCATCAAGTGTCGTGAACTAATATGAAGCACTCGTCAAGGTGTCAAGAGACGTCTTATCATTCTGAAGTCTCGACTCAGCGGAATATTTACCAAAATGTGAGGCTTAAAGTGTTAAAAAGTGGGCAAATAGTGGGCAACACTAAGAGCAAATCGCCAGAGCGTTTTCCGAGAAAACAAATTACACCGTGGTAAGGTACCGTGTGCAGAGGTAGCCTCAGCCTGTTTTTGCGGTCTCATAACAGAGTTAGTTGTCGTGTTGTTGACGGAGTCATTTAAAAAATGGTAAGGTGGTTCATTCCACCGCGTGTACTCGCCATGTCCCCGTGGGCGGCCGCTGAGCGTAACAGACGCCCTCTTTGCCGATGGCCGCCTCGGCGGTAAGGGCATTGCCAAGCTCTTCATTTGGCACACGGTACTCCGTCGGCGACACGATGACGACCTCCTCGTCATTCGTACGGCAGCGTCGCACGGGTTGTGGCAGGAAGATCACGTCGTCATCCACCGTCTCGTCTCCCGTGCCGGGTTTCGCCAAACCGGACCTCGCCTCCGACGACCTGCGGAGAAACACGGAGCTTAAGCTTCGCCGACTGACCGCTTGGTGACGCGGTTGTTTTGCCAATGGGTGACGCGACGGCTCAGTGCCCCCAAACCACTTAGCCTAACACCACGCCGAGGAAAACGAAGCAGAGGTTACATTAAATTGCAAACAGGTGACGGACCCTGCTAACAAACTACATGGACCAGCACATTTCAGGCCTATGTTATGCGCAGTGGCTAGGCGTGCCAAAATGCACTCTAAGCACCCGGTATGACGACTCACAACGTAGGTCAATGTCTTGGGCTCAAATTAAAAAGGCTTTTCAGCACAGGCCCTCATCGACCCATTCGGCGGCCACACACCCGTCCGGCACGACCCCAGCAAGTGGTTTGCCCCTTTTGCGGCTCTCAGCCAAGGAGTCCTTTTTTCGCATCGTCGTTCTCGTCGCTTTTTTCCGTTCGTACTAGCTCCAAACACACCTTTCCGCTTAGTTTTTGTTGTTCCCTTCTCGCTCCCCTAGTATGGGGAAGCGAAGCAAGCGCAAGAAGGATGATACTGACACGGACTCGAACTCGGCCTCTGACCTTGATAATGCCCTGGATGTAGACGACGGAAGTGCCGCCAGCCTCCCTTTGGCTGCCACTTCATCTGATGACCCTCGCGCGCCCCAAGCCACGACCGTTGGTACGCACACTTGCACCGCGATGGGTGGACAGCAGACTCCGTCTCCGTTCAACGCCCCTGGTTCCGACCCTCGCTCGTCCTTGACCACTCCGGTGCCTGCTCGCCCTGATGCTGACCCTCTCTCGACAATGACCAGTGTTCGCCTGCCTTCTGAGCCAATTCTGGATCCTCTCGGATTGTACGTTGTCGTCCAACCTTGTGATGAAAATGTGTCGTTTCGAAAGATCAACGTTTTTTGGCCATCAAAGCAAATCAAAGCTATCTGCGGTCCATGCGAACTCAAAATTGAAGCACCAGCAAACGGATTACTCATCATTTAAACAACAACTCGCGCACAAACCAAGGCCCTACTCAAAACAGCTGAATTTTGCGGCAAACAAGTAAAAGTCTCCCTGCACCATGCCAGAAAAACCAGTAAGGGCACCATCTTTGCGCCTGAACTCCGCTTCATGACGGAGGACGAGATCCTAGCGGAGCTCAGAGATGAGCAAGTTTGCCATGTCCGTCGGCTGACGACTTTCAGAGATGGTCAGCGTCACGACACCAGCCTGCTTGTTATCACCTTTGGTACCACCCGACTTCCAGATTCGCTCACCGCTGGTTTCCTTCGTTATAAAGTAAGGGTATTCATTCCAAATCCACTCAGGTGTTTTAAATGTCAACGGTTCGGACACGGCAGCAAGTACTGCAAACAGAGTGCCAGATGCTTGAAGTGCGGCGAGACTCCTCACGAGGGATTTGCCTGCACATCGCCCCAGAAATGCCTGAGCTGTGGAAGTGCTGATCACGCCGCCAACTCTTCTCAGTGTCCCACGTGGAAAAAAAGAAAAAGAAATTTGTTCTGAAAAGGCAAAGACAGGTGTGTCGTACTCCGAAGCACGGCGCACCGTTGAATCTAAAATGTCGTCGCAGCCCAGCAAAACATATGCACAAGTAGCAAAAGCCACGATGGCCACATGAGCAACACAGACCGACCCTATCACCCATCTGCCTCCCCTGAAACTTCTCAACCCTCGCCCCTCGGTTTCAGCTGAGTCAACTACACAGACCCAGACGAAAAATGCCGTTGAGTCACCCCTGGCTGGACGCTCGGATGCCCAGGCGCCCGTGCACCCCCGTCCCCAGGTTGGCCGGCGTTCCAGCCCGCCGGCTGTGAGTGATTCACGTGCGGGTCAGGCCGTCCGGCGTTCTAGCCCCCCGGCTACGAACAGTCGGCGGCCCGGACCCTCTGGCCACCACACAAACATCACCTCCCCTTCCCCCACCACAACACCTGTCGAAACACGCCCGAACGAAGTCCGCCGGTCCCGTCCACCGGTGAGGGTGGCGATGGGACGGCCTAGGTCTGTTTCGTTCGGGCGATTCCCATCAACCGGTGGGAATGGATCCCTTCATCACTAAATGTCTTTCATCTTACAGTGGAATTGTCGCGGTCTCATTTCAAAATGGTCCGAAATGAAAGCACTTTTTGCCGTACTTACTCCAATCATCATTGCCGTACAGGAAACATGGTGTCGTCCCACCGACACATATAACTTTAAAATGTCAAATTACTCGTTATATCGCTATGACACGATGGACGGTGAGCGTCGCCAAGGTGGGGTGGCGCTTTACATCAGTCAAAAATTAACACACACGCCACTCACTCTTAACACACCTCTTCAGGCTGTTGCATGTTCAGTTCGACTGCATGGCCGTACCATCGATATATGCTCAATATACATTACACCAAATTATAATAATACGGAGCTCTTACGGCAACTTGACCAACTCGTTGCTCAATTTCAAAACCCTTTCCTCATCTTCGGCGATCTAAACGCTCACAGTCCAGCTTGGAGTAACGGCACCCAAGCCGTTAATCGCCGAGGACATTTGGTTGAAGATTTTATTGACACACACAACTTAGTCCTGTTAAACAAAAGCAATAATACTCATCACCACCTACCCACTGGTACAGAAACAGCCATCGACCTGTCGCTGTGCTCTCCCTCAATAGCAGCATACTTCGATTGGACTGTTGAGGGAGATATACACGACAGCGACCATTTTCCAATTAAAATTTACACCACTTTTGACGCAACCGCTGACGAAGTTTTGCGATCCATACCCCGCTGGAATTTACGAAAAGCAGACTGGGCCAAATTTCAAGAACTTTGTTATGTGAACCGAGACTATTATGAATCACCAGAGCAGGGTGTTGGCCTTATTACACATATTATTCATGCTGCAGCAACCGCGACAATTCCACTGACTAAAACGCCATCACGCCGCATCCCAGTACCATGGTGGACGACCGAAGCAAAGAACGCTATTGCGCGTCGGAAACGTGCTTTCCGCTGCTTTCGTCGCCACCATGATGTACCTCATTTCTTGCCCGAAATTATGAGCGTGCTCGAACCAGACGAATTATAAGGAGTGCCAGACGTCATTCTTGGCAAGCATACACCCAGCAGTTCACTGCTGCTACTCCTCTAAGCCAGCTATGGGGACTGGTTCGAGCACTTTCCGGAAAACGCACCTCTATTTCATTGCCCATTTTACGCATTAATAACCAAATCATTTCGGCAACACTTATCACCAATGCTCTTGCTGAAAGTCTTTCTTAGTGTAGCTCATCCGGAAATTACTCACCAGGATTTGTGGAAAGTGCGCAAGCCCGTTTTCGTTTACATACTGATTGTTTTGTTTCCGATAACGCCGAAGACTATAATTTACCATTTTCATTTCTGGAACTACAAAAGGCTATAAAATCCGCCGGCAACACCTCAGTAGGTCATGATCAGTTACACTATTCTTTTTTTCGTAATCTTTCAGAAGATATGCTTCGTTTTATATTGGCAGTTTTTAACCATTTGTGGTCAACCCATGTCTTTCCTGACGCCTGGAAAGACACCATCATTATTCCACTTGCAAAGCTAGGAAAAGACACCAAAGATCCATCAAATTATCGTCCCATTACACTTACCAGCTGTCTACGAAAACTTTTTGAGCGGATGGTGGTGAAGCGAATCTCTTGGATTGTAGAACGAGACTGCCTGCTTACAAAAAATCAATGTGGTTTCCGACACAATCGTAGCACAATAGACCATGTCATCAGACTTGAAACTGACATCAGACGTTCCTTTAAACACCGACACCACACAACTGCTGTCTTCCTGGATATTAGCCGAGCCTACGACATGGTCTTTAAACCTGCACTAATTTTCAAGCTCCATCAGTTAGGGTTTAAAGGCGATTTGGCACATTATCTTATTGGGTTTCTTTCCGGCATCAGACCATTTCGTGTGAGATGCAGATCCGCCTTTTCCGACACTCACTATCTAGAGAACGGCCTCCCACAAGGGAGCTGTATCTCACCGATTCTTTTTAATTTTATGATAAACGATTTATTTGACTCATTACCATCGGGTATTTCCTCTTCACTTTTTGCGGATGATAGGCCATCTGGTGCTCAGACGCTGAATATGACCATTCGCTGCCACGGCTCCAAGCCGCCCTAAACAAGGTGCAGCAGTGGTCAGAGCGATACGGGTTCCGCTTCTCCGCTCCCAAATCTGCAGTTATGATTTTCGGCAAAAATATGCGTGGTACTCCCAATTTTCGGCTTCGACTAGATGGACACCACATTCCTTTCGTTTCGTCTTTCAAATTTCTTGGCATCGTACTTGACCCCAGATTATCGATGCCACAGCACGTGGAGCATGTTCGCTCCAAATGCCTAAAAAGACTAAATTTCTTTAGATGCATTTCCGGGTCGACATACGGTGCCGACCGCCAATCGTTATTACGTCTATACAAATCCTTAGTTCTTCCCATCATTGAATATGGCTCCGTGGTATATGCAGGAGGCAGCCAACACATTCTCAAACCACTATCCACCATACAAAATATGTTTTTGCGAGTTGCCCAAGGAGCTCTGCGTACTTCCCCGATTTCAGCGCTTGAAGTGGACGCTCATGTTATGCCTCTTGCCCCCCGACGAATGGAACACACATTGAGATACATCACAAAAGTGCGACAAAATCCCAGTCACCCAGCATTTAAATCCATACATGTCTTACCTCACATTCACCATAACTACGTAGGACCGGCAGAACGTCGCTCAGGACTTACAATAACATCTCGAACCATTATCTACTGCACCACTCTTCAGTTTACTTCACGGCCTTCTTCCATGCCACATGCTTTAATAGCATCACTATGGCAGTTAACCCCTCGGAAAGTTTTGTTTCTTTTTGATGATCCCAAACGCATTTTCACAACAAGTTATGTTCAACAAACATTTAATCGTCTAATTTTCAACAATCAAAATAGCAGCTTTATTTACACCGA